TTTAGTGCTACTTGGTCCCAATGGAATTTCCCATTGGGAACCTGCTAGCACTAAGATGCTAACTGGTTAGCAAGATGCTTCCCACAAACCGGCTACAACCAAACTCGTGTAAAGTCGGGCACCACTCCAGAGAATTTGGAAATGCAACGGTTGGAACGGCCGCTTCCCTACGGCTTAAATATTCTTAGCGTTCTGATGGCATTCTAGTGAAAGGATTTTTATCAAAAACCTAAATAATGTGCACAAATAAGGAATAGTTGTATTAAACATACATCTAAACAGAGTTTTATGGGGCCCCCAGGGAACTTGGGGCCTTAGGCAACTGCCTAGTATTGCCTAATGGTAAATCCCCCCCCAAGGTGGAGAACCTGGGCTTCTGAACCCGTTATAGTGCAAAACATGTCCTTTTTTGAAACGAGCAGAGTTACATGGATTTATCTAGACGACGTCATTAAACAGCAAACTGATGCATCTAGTTTTCAGAAGTGTTACGTAACCAAATAGAAATATTTCATTTCTGTATTTAAGTAGATTTTTTATAGACATTGATAAAGACATCATGCAGCAGCTGTGAATAAACAGGGAAGATCCACAGAATGTGTCCTGTTGGAGCACAGTTTGTTTACAGAAACACACTGATGGAGACGGGGGGGCTGCGAGGCGCTGCAGATGATGGATCAGATTCTCAGACGCAGACATTCCCCCTTTATTAGATTTAAATTTACACGTTGGTTATGTTTCAGGTTCTATTTCCAGCTTTTATGCTGTGATGAATACCAGAGCTCTGAAAGGATTCAGCTGCTTCAAACTCCCGTCAGGATTTGATCCTCTACCAACACAGAGACCAGAGGAGGAAAATTCACTCACTTTCTGTGCAGACATGTTCTTTTTAACAATAGACGTTTAAAAGTTACTTATCATTTAGAAAATTACTTGATTTGCTTTTATACTTAAGTACTGTTTATTTCAATAAAGAATGTGAGAACTTTTGCCTCCTCTGATGGTCTTTCATCAGAATGAGGATGGTTCACAGAAACCTGGCTGTGGCAGGAGGCCCCAGGACCCTGATTTAGTCCACTAAAAACAACAACTTTCTTTTGGGATTAATGAGGTTCTTTTTTTCCTTAAATAAAGTGGAAGTAGAGAGGAATATGATGAATAGGATGGAAGGCAGAGGACTGATTAACAAACACAGGATATCAATACTGCTGCCAGAACTGTTGCTAATAAATGTGTTACCTGGACTCTACAGGGAACGGTTCATAGAGAAACTTCTTGTAGAAATCCTTCTTGATGTCATGGACCAGGATAACGGCTTTGCCCTGGTCATCAAACTGAGGACGTCCAGCTCGCCCCATCATCTGCAGCACATCTGGAGGCACACAGAGCACAGCTGGTCACTGCAGGCTGCTTCTATCAGAGTTCTAGACAGGCTCAGACAAATCCAACAGCATCAGGGAATATCTCTGACGTTTAAAGGAGCAAATCTACACCAAATGGCCACTTTATTAGGAACCAATTTATGAAACTTCTCCCTATTGCAACAGCCTGAACGCCTCACAGCAAACCTTCTAATGGGAACTCTTTGGTATGATGGCATCAGAGGTGCTGCTGAGCTTTGAGCAACAGAACCAGGATTATATCTCCTGTTTCTGTGTTGGACCAAGACGTTATAACCACTGGACTTCAGTTCAATTCAGTTTATTTCTATAGCTCCAATTCACATCATGTCATCTCAGGGCACTTTCCAATTCACCAGATCATCCAGTCAGATTGATTCAAAGTTTTCTATCTAAGGAAAACCAGCTGATTGCATCGACTCATTGACTCTTCAGCAATCCCTCACACTAAGCATGCTTGTAGCGACAGTGGAGAGGAAAAACTCCCTTTGAACAGGAAGAAACCTCCAGCAGAACCAGGCTCAGTGTGAGCGGCCATCTGCTGAGGCCCACTGGGGTTCAAGGAGACAGAAGCAGACATAGAAAAAGAAGCATAGATACAAAAGGCAACTGTCAACCAGCTCCACAGGCGGCCCCGTCCAGGAAACACACAGCCAGGCAGACGAGCTCCGAGCCAGCTCCCATGTCAGAGGATGAAGAGAGCACATCCAGTTAGTCACAGTCAGAGAAACAGGACTACACTGGAAAACAGGCCAAGCTCCAACATCTAGAAACAAAGGTGTTGATGGCAGCAGCACAGCTGATATTTCTCTCCAGGATGGAGTCACAGCCAAACAGGAACAGACCAGATGAAGCTACTATGAGAAAAAGCAGAGAGAGCAGAACGTTAGAGATTGAACTAACAGATTCTGCAGAGTGGGAGAATAGAGATAGAATGAAGCAGAATGATGAAAAAGGGGTCCCTATGTCCTCCAGCAGTCTAAGCCTATAGCAGCAGAACTATAGAGATAGATCAGGATAACCTGAGCCACTCTAACTAGAAGCTTTATCAAATTATCTTGATGTTTAATTGAATTGAACTCCAGTTCAGTGACCTCATCATCCTGCTCAGAAAACCAGGTTAAATTAGTGGTGGCATTCATCTGGGGACGGGTACGCTGTGCTCATTAAGGAATGGGGCTGGTCTGTTGAGTCATTTTAATGGACCTATGTGGATTTTCTTGATGTTTTGTGACAGGAGCGGCACCGTTCTACCGAAGGTCGACTTTTCTGCTGTGTCCCTACGGCTGCTGGCCTGTTAACGATCAGCTGTACCTAATAAAGTGGCCATTGGTGGAATCTGGACTGACCAGATGAGGAAAAACGAAGCCTGTGTACCTGTGATGGGATAGTCCACGTAGCGTCTGGATTTCCCGTCGTAGTATTCGGTTCCCTTGACGACCACCAGGTGAGCGGGAAAGTTTACTCCCCATGCCAGAGTACTGGTGGCAATCAGAACCTGTTCATGTTTGGATAGGAAGGAAGAAAAAACAACAGAAAATGACACCAGAGGAAACTGGATATTCAGCAAAAAAATCCATCAGGAAGCGTGAGTCACGTGACGACCACGAGACAACAGGTGCTATCTTTAAAGACTACAGGTCCCATACAACAATTTAGACGAGGTCACAGAAGGTCCAGTGGTGAACTGATGGGCTGCAGACAACTGGATGAGAAGAAGACTGTCCAAAAATCATCATAATAAAATTAAATCAGTGGATAAGTCTCCAGTAGGAAGATGATTCCAGACTTTCTACCAGAAGATGCATCACGTCCATGTCATAATATAAGGTGAGCATGCAGCAGTGGGTAGGGAGGTGCAGCTTACCTGAATCTTACAGTTGACAAACAGCTCCTCCACTGTCTTCCTGTCCCTCTCATGAAGGCCTGCGTGGTGCATGCCGATCCCAAAGGCCAGGGTCAGCTTCAGGTTGGAGTCCCTCACAGTGGCGATGATGGCCTCTATCTGCAGGCCCACCAGAGCCAAAGGACACATCAGACACACAGCGACATGAGGAGGACACGCTACGGAAGGACTGCTGGAGTCAGAGCAGGATGTGTCCATCATGGAGTTCACAGCCTGCAGCATTTATAACGGCTTACTGAATCTCAAACATGCTTGATTTTCCCGACCTTATGATTCCCGATTGGGAGGTGCTCATGAGAGGCTAATCGCCCCTTGTTACCCAGTAATGTAAGTTCCATACAAGCAGGTCACAAGTCCCAAGTATCAGCAATCAAGTCTCAAGCAAGTCCCGAGTTTTTGGCAATATGTGCCTAAGAGAGCATCAAGATATCTTGTTGGGAGCCACTGCACTACGGTGACCAGACGTCCCTGATTTGCGGGGACAGTCCCTGTTTGGACCACCTGTTTGCCGCTAAAGTCGTCCCCTGAAATGTCTCCTATTTTAATGTTTTATGAATGAGGGGGAAATGTTGTGTGTAGATTGTAATTACCATAGAAAGAGGGCGTGAGCATGCTGCGCACTAAAACAGCTGTTAGCTAGCAGGCCGGCAGCTGTTAACGAATAGATGAGGAGCTGACCGTAATGCTACTAAAATGGACAAGGAAGTTCGTTATGACAACGGGTCGCCGCTGCCCTGTGTTATGGTGAATGTGGTAATCGGTTGACTTAGGCTGATCATTGTGATTAATGTTTGGTTTTTACTCAGGTTAATAAAAAAAGGGCTTTGGTGTGTTTGTTTTACTAAAGATGAGGAGCAGAAATGTAACCTAAACTATCAGCCAACAGTCAGACAGACCATTGACTGCAGCTGCAGGAGGAAATAGACTCAGATCAAATTAACCAGAATTATAGAAAACTCCTTATAAGGAGCTAATCTGGTTCTGTGGTTCTCCAGGGATCAACAAGGATTCATCTGAAGATGTTTTTAGATCTGATCGGTGACCGTTACTTTATATCCTCAGATAGGTAGTTATTGTAAGTAGAGTTATAAGTCGTTTTGCTGTTTTATGGTTTGGGATTTATGAGTTTAAACCTCCAAGCTTAAGTCTACTTTTCTACCAGTCAGTTTAGATAAATGAAAGTTCCTCATTATTAGAAATAAGAGGCAGTAAAAGGAAAACTGAGACAAGATCTGCATGATCTGAGAATGATGGAGGATGAGATAACCACCTGTTTAATGTTCATTTATTAGGTCTTTCTTTGTAGCTCCATATATTGTGGTGATTAGCCTATTTAATATTTAATCAGTGAGATAAAAACAATAACAATAATAATAATAACAATAATCACCATCATCTTAATGATGATAATATGTATGATGAGATTATATGTGTTTGGAAGAGATTTTGATTGTATTATGTCTGTTTGGAGAAGGAAGAAGACAGAAGACAGTTTTTATTGTCATTGTGTATATACAGAGTTCACACAAAACATCGGATGATCAGGGTCGGCTCCTCATCTCAGTCCTGCGTGGAGTCTAACCTCTGAGCTGAAAATGAAGCGTCACTAAAACAGATTCTTGCAGCATCTGGTCAAACTCATCACGGTTTTCAGACACATCCACCCAAAGCAGCTCATTGCTATTAACACAGAAAATGCTGTGTAATATTATTAATTGGAAAAAGAAGAGCGCGCACTAGTTGCCATGGGGATTCTACCTTTAACCAGTCATACCGCTGTGGTCATCACTAAAACCAGCAACAATTTAAACATAAACTTCCTCTGATTGAAACAAGAAAACAGCCTGCTGGCATAGAACTGGGATGCCTAGAATGTGTCTATCTCCTTTTCGTTTCTCGCCATCTAAGGCCATCGAATCGTCCACAGCATGTGGTGCTGCTGAAGGTGAAAGAGTTTCTTTTGTTGATCATTAGAACGCTGGGACACTTTTCGAGCAGATGTCATAAAACCTGAAGCAGGGTGTGTGAATCTAACGCCTCCTTCTTTCCCCTGAGCCCCATGGCTGGAGCGGAGGGGGGGGGCGTCCACATACCTCTCTCTCATCCTGGTGCAGCCACTGCTTAGGGTTGTCCTCTGTGGCCAGGTAGGCGATTAGATCCAGAGCTGTTAGACGGGTCTGCCTTCTGGACGACACAAAAATCAGCACCGGCTTGGCGGGTGAGTGACTGCGGATTGCTGTAAGGAAACATTCACATATATATATTATATATTCAATTTCATCACTTAATAAAAAATAAGAAAAACTTGAATGTTCAGGATTGGTCTCTTAGAGCTAGCCTAAACAGAAGCAGATGTCATGGAGTCTGACGCAGAGAGGAACTGCAGGTGACTACATGGAGCCCAGAGTGTGACAGTGAGGACGGACCTTGGAAGGTCGGCTTGTTCATGCTGGCCATGCGGGGACAGTAGTGCTGTCCTGGGAAACCATGGATGTGAACTTCCAGCGGGACGGGACGCACAGAGGGACGGAAGTTAAACATTCCCACCTGTCATACGGATCGGGGGAGGGAGGGAGGGAGGGAGGGGGGCAAGAGAAGAAGGAAGAGAAAGATACATTTAGTGGCAGCAGCTGGAAACCCGAAGCTCCATCTGGCTACAGTTTGAACTACAGCGCAGCAGCAGGACAGCAGAGGCCCTTTATTCAGAAAACCCTCCTCTGTTGCCGACAGTGACCAACATTACACCTGTGGAGCAGAAGAGACATTTAACCTAAAATGAAAGGGAAGTTGGTTTAATCACCAGTTCCTCAGCCTGATTCAGACCGGAATGTTTAATTTCTGAGACATCATACAGTCTACAAAACAATAACATGCTGAAGGTTGGTGTAAAAGGGACAGATCCTGGCTTTGAAGGAGACGCTGAAATCCTTCACCTCTATCTCTGTAAAGAGCCTTGATATGACCAATCCCAACCCTAACGATTTACAACTTCAGCATCGGTTTTCTATCAGCGTGCTGCAGAATTTAAATTAAAAATGGAAGACAAAGTTTCTGCATCAAACCTGACACGTTACCAAGGCGACAGGATGTGACCCTAAGTTCTGCTGTCCGTCCTCTGGCCTTAAACCTCTCTGCAGTTCAACTGTTAAAGTCGAAGAGAAGCGGCTGTTACAACCGTTTGCAAGACAGTTTGGTTGTGGCCGGTTTGTTAGAAGCAT